ATAATAATAATTATAAAATAAAACATCTTCTGTGAAAACTCGCCTGAAAGCTGCTGAATGTTAAAAGCAGAAACAAAAATTAAAACAATTCAAAGAAAAAAAAGGTAATCAAGAGCTAAAATTAGCACAGCACACAGCTAAAATGGTCAAAACACAAACTAAAACCAACAAAACAGCTAAAACTTGTAATTAACAGAACAGTAGGTAAAAGCTAAACTTATGTAACAAAAGCTAAAATATGCATATGAGCCAAAAGCTAAAACAGCAAAAACTGAAGCCCAAAGTTAAAATTTAAAAAGTGATAAGTATGGAACCCAAAAGCTAAAAACATGAAGTTAAAAGCCAAAAGGAGAAAAACAGTAGCTAAAAGTAAAATAATCAGAACAGTAGTTGAAAGTTAGCATAAAAGTTAAAAAAACAAACTAAAGTTGAACACAATATACTCTATAAATTAGATAAAAGTATCCTGAAATAGTTACAGCCCACTTAAGAGTGAACAAAAATAAAAAGGCAACATTTTGTTTTTGCTCCCATTTTTCATGAGCCAAATTCAAAGAAACTTTTTCTATCAACACAGTAGGTCATTTTATCTTTAATATTGTTCACAAATTTGTGTAATTCAGGCCAGGCCAACCAGTAGATCGGGATCTACTGGTTGATCTTTAGCTGGTTAGCAGTAGCTCAAGGAGCAATGGATCATGGAGCTTGTAGAACGCAACATTAACATTGCAGCCTTAAACGCTCTCTTTGCAACATTTGTTTAACATTGCATTCTTCAACGCACCCTTGTCAACATTTGTTTAACATTGCATTCTTGAACGCGCTCCAGTCTCGCTAGTTTTGGGTGCTGTGAAACAGCACTCCAAACATGGTCTTGCAAGGTTAGGGTCATGTGTTAAAACATGGCAGCGAGGCAGAAATAAATGAACGAAAGACAGCTAACAAGCAAATAAAAACTTATTATTTTCACTTGGAGTGGGAAGAGGATTCATATGTAATTCGAGCGCTGCCTTGGCTTGTCCAAAAAGGATAACGTGGAACAGCATTTCTTTCAAAAGAATGCACAGACGCTACGAGGTGGATTTCCCCTCCTAAGGTAAGGCTGCTAATGCAGCCCTATACCTGCCTCAACACGTCTTTCAGCGATGACAAAGTTATGAAAGAAGCGTTTGATGCTGCAGACATGCTTTTCCATGGTTTTAAAAATAAAAGTGAGATTGTGGCTGCTATAGACGTGCAGTTGTCCACCAGAATGGAGGGATGTGTCCAAATTCGTGTCCGTATTTCAGTCTGGACTGCTCTGGGTTGAAAACTAGGTTTTGACTCTGCAAAATGACATTGGGATCAAATACAGAGCAACAAGTCACATGGATGGAGAGTTCTGGAGTCTGCTTTCTCTCACATGAAAATCATCAAGTCCAACAACAAATCCACAAAGACTGATGATCATCTGGAGACCTGCTTACACCTCAACCACCTCATACTGCCTGCCTATGAGACCCTGGCCTCATCTCAGTGTCAGAAATTCCACTAAGGTAGACATACATTTTTACATTATTTATTTATACATTATTTTTATATAGCTTGCATAAAAACTTGTCTCCTCTAGACTTGTCACAATGTGTCTGTATGTTGTTTTTTTATTACATTTTAGACCAGACTAGTGTCTTATACACTGAATGGCACCTTTGCGTTATTTATTTATTTTGCAGTTTGGGTGTGCCCTTGTTCTCTGTACCTAGCGTGGCTGTGTGTGTGTCTTGTTTATAGGTGGTGAACCTGGTAGAACTCTTTGAATGGTCTGGAGCCGACAGTTTGGACCAGTGAGGGACTGAGCTCTTCAACACCTGCAGATGACACCATCCTGCATGCTGCAGATTGAGGTTTGAAATAGTTGTTGGAGATTTGTGAATCTGCACCATCGTTAGTCACTTTTTGTAATAGTATAAACGAGAGAGTTTTATATTGTGTGCTTTGACTTTAGTTTTTTGTTTTGTTTTTCCTCCCCTTTACGGAGGAGAGTTCTTTGAATAAATGAAGATAAGTTCCCGTGCTCCAAAGTTATTTGACTCTGTGGTTCTCGCACTGGACAGGTTTCCAGCCCTCATAGCTCGCACGTTACAGTGAGTACTAATTGAAGGAGGGAAAAAAATTGATCCTTTTTGTMCGAGCATCACTTTTCTGTTTCTCTGTCAGGAGTTAAGTAAGGATTTTATCTTTTCTTTTTTTTTGTAGGTAAATATATGGTTAAGTTTTGTTTGACAATACTTTAAATTAAATAAAACTAGCAACACATTACTTTCTGTTTTATTTACTTTAAAGAAGTGAGGAGTAGGGGGACGAAAAAATATGTTTTTTGATACTGAGACTGGACGAGTAGATCTCGGCAAACTGCCTACTTCAAAAGTAGCTCTTGGTTC